AAATTATTAAAAAATTATATATAGCAAAAAACCTAAAATGACTTTGCATCCATAGTAAATAGACTAGGGACATTTAAGTAATTGACATGTTAAAAAAATAAAAAGCTCCTTAACCAAATAGAACGTTTTTTAAGGGTCACTTGATAATTACACTGTATAAAAAAAACATGAAATTATTGATTATCATCCTTTTCTAATGTAACTACTAATAAGCTACATGGAAAAGAAAATGACTTTGCATCCATAGTAAATAGAATAGGGACATTCAAGTAATTGATATGTTAAAAAAAAAATAAAAAGCCCCTCAACCAAATAGAACTTTTTTTAAGGGTCACTTGATAATTACACTGTATAAAAAAAACATGAAATTATTGATTATCATCCTTTTCTAATGTAACTACTAATAAGCTACATGGAAAAGATTCTTATATCCCCAAACCCAAGCTTGCTCTCCAGGGTCAAAATAATAATCTTACAGTGGAATGCAATGTGCATAATCTATATTAAAACATTGATTATTTTTTTTATGTAATCAGAGGAGGTGGAAATAAAAGTAAATAACGAGAATAATATTCGAGAGAAAAGATACGTTGCTATTGTTCAAGAAAAAGGTATTTCACGACTTGATTTACAGTCTCAACAAGGCAGGTATTAGAGCGATAAACTATGATGGGCTGGGCTCAAGCATTTTGATTCGTGATGGACTTGGCCCATGTATAGAAATGTATTGTATTTCGGTCCGTCTTCTTTTAAGTTTTGAAAATTTGAAAGAAAGACGGATAAGCCCAAGCTTGCACGAGTTGTTAACAGCAGCAAGCAAGCCAGGGAGTGGTAAACTATCAACTAAATTACAGTCGCTGAGCGTTTATTAGGAGGTAAATCCCTCTTATATTCAACAATTCAAAAGTTTAAATCCTTCTCTATTTGCGGTCCGTCTTCTTTTAAGTTTTGAAAATGGGAAAGAAAGATGGATAAGCCCAAGCTTGCAAGAGTTGTTAACAGCAGCAAGCAAACCAGGGAGTGGTAAACTACCAACTAAATTACAGTCGCTGAGCGTTTATCAGGAGGCAAATCCCTCTTATATTCAACAATTCAAAAGTTTAAATCCTTCTCTATTTGCACACTGCATCAGCTTCAATAACACCAAGAACCAAGCTGCTGCAACATCTCGCTTCTACATCAAATTAAACGACTGAAGAGGCAGTATATAGTTTATAGATACTACATCGTTAGGATCCCACGCAACTATCCATGTATTTAGTTTTTATAAATTCAATCCATGCTGAGCCCTTCTCAAATAACGCCAGTTTCTCCAAGAAAAAGAAAAATAATAATAAAAAAAAAAGCCTGGTTCATTAAATTCGCCCGAGTACACTTAAATTTTTGCTCACCGGACCCTTGCTCTGCCATGGTCATGCTCGTGAACTGCTGTTTAATCGATTGTTTATGTCGGTTATCTAGCGTGGTTAGATTTGAATCAAAGGACCTAAAAGATATATTCATGTCTGCTAAAGCTGTCAGGTAATTATTTTTCATTAAAATATAAAATGAAAAGTTAAATGTGGTGTCTTCTAACTAGTGCAGTTTACAAAACCACCTTATCCACAATCTCTTTGGAATAAAATTTTCATCGATTCCATGCCAGTCGGTATCTTATCTTGTTTCCCAATTCCTTGCAATAAATTATCTTATCTTAGTTAACCTAAATCACACTTTGTATCCTTCAACACCATGGGATACTGGTGATTACTATGGAAAAAATTTAATAAAACAAAGTGCTTAGAGCAAGTAATCTCTCTCTTTGAATCTGTAAACAATAGCTAACTGGAAATTCAATAGCCATGTACAGTTAGTTGGTTGAAAGCAACTCCTTTGATGTTATATTTGAAACTTTCGCACATCAAATTAAATTCATATATTTTGAACAAGACTTGCAAGGAATTGAGTTTTTAATTTTCAGACATTATCAATAATTTTTATCTATCTATCCACACACATAGTAATTGAATTATATGTAATTGAATTTTTTAAACTAAAAAAACTTAAGCATATAATTTTTTTATAAAAAATAAAAATATTTAACCTATAACGGAGCATAGTTAACCTAATTAGTAAAATTTATAATGCAATTGCTTTAAAACATAATATTTTTTTCAAACATCTAATATATAAATCATTTCAATTCTATTGAAAAGTCACCCAACAGTTTATCTCTTTTAAAACAACTTTTGTAGGTCATTATGTACAGCTATTGTTAACATTTACCAATCCCCCTATTTTAATAATGATACATGTTAGTTACTGTCACGTATGGACAGTACATGTCGTGAAAATTAATAAGTGTTGGACATGCAGATCATATATTTTCTTACATCCTGCAAGCCCAATGAACAGATAAGACACCGCAGGGATGACAAGCATGTATGATAAGATTCGAACCTAAATATAAAGGAAAGGGACAAGTCTCTCTCACTCCTAGACAGAACCTCAATCCTCCTATTTTAATAATGATACATGTTAGTTACTGTCACGTATGGAGAGTATATGTCGTGAAAATTAATAAGTGTTGGACATGCAGATCATATATTTTCTTTAAAAAATAAAAGAAATTCTACATAAGGTTTGAAGGGACTAATTTTAATTGAGGCACTTGACCCAATTCAATTGGACGATTATCTTTTAGAAATGTCGATGAATTAATTGACGCTAATTAACGTATTTTATAACGATTGTAATTTATGCTCTGTGAGGAAATGTTATCCAAAGTAGAATCCAAATCACTGAATAAAATTGTTATATTTTTATCGGGAGGGATACCATTGAAAGTGCCATGAATTTCTGAGTCCATGGTCTTCGTCGTCGCTGCATGACTTCGTCGTCTTTGAGTTCACAAAATATTTTCTTCGCTAACCGATACTTTTCCTTTTTCAAGTTTCTGTCCTTTTTTATCTATCTTATTAGAAAATACTTTATAGGCTACAGTAAATGATATATTGTCCATGGTCTCTCGTTACAAGAATGAACACGTGTTGCGTCGAGAGAATGGTTGCATTAAACAAAATATTTAGACGGCATCGAGGAGGATAAGAATAGCTATCCGGTTGCTTTTTGTTAAAATATCTCGTATTTTTTTTAATTTTAAGTTGAAAGTGACATATATATATATAGAATTGAATTTTCCCATG